TCTTGCCCTACGCAGCAGCAGCGTCATGCGCCGTCCTGACGCAGCTATCGCCTACACTTCTTGGCAATCTTGAACTGGTTGGCCGCCTTCTCAAAGCACTCGGACGCATCCTCGTACTTGGAGCTGCTCGAGAAGATGGAGAAGCGGTTCAGCGCCTTCTCGCCGGCCTTGATGAAGTCCTCGGCCTTGATCTCTGCCTGCGCCGCCATGCTGCTGGATGAAGAATACCAGGCGGTTGCCAAACCGACCGGTCCTTTTTAAAAGCCAATCGTGCATTTATATACAAATACCAAGCTACAATTAAATGTGTATATTATATACCGCCTTCTGCATAGCAAGCACCGTCATTTTTCGGTACCACTAGAATCACGCCATTTTGTATGGGGACTCGCTTTCATAGCACAACAACAATTGCACGAGCGTGTGCATGGTTGCCATGGTTGCCCAACCACGCGTATCAAGTCTATGGGTAGTGTGATTGCGAGAAAAAGTCGGCCAAGCGTTGCCGAATACACACACAGCACACCCGTGCCACGTCTTGAGTGGCGTGATTTTAATCTATCTGAAATCTGAGAGCACTTGCTGTAGCCAATCCAAAGCCGCCGGGTCATTCTCGACTTGGCGCCAAGGACGACCTCACTTGCGCAAGGGACTTGTGTTGTGCGAGTGATGGCAGTAATTCCGCAGCGGATCGATCCACCGCATTTTCTCATCAAGCAGCATAACTGATAATTATGCGAAGACTATTATATCCTTACATGCCGGAACACTGCTCGTCGCGACGAGGAAACCTCACCTTTCGCCGCGCCGATAGCACATGTCGTCTCCTCTACTTCATGACTTCATCGTAGCAGGCTACCTCCATGAAGTAGAGCGAGACCCCAATAACAATGCAAATGTCGTTCCAATTTTTACGGTAGTTATCATTTTTAAATCTAACATTCGGTTACCTTTTGACGTGGAAAAACGAGTTTGATCGCATTGGTCTGCGCCAATGCACTCGACCGAAGCCTCGCGTGGCGCTTGCCTTTATTCCTACGAGACGCCATTACTACGTAACGTTAGCATGCATGCGCACTGCTCATAAGGTACGACGAGCACTGGTGGACGGCCAAGCCGCCCGCCGAGCGGTGTCCACAACAGGCTAAGCTGAGTGCGCCACCAAGGTTATCGATGGGGACAAAAGTCTTGATTAGCTCACGCCTTGAAGTCTCCGAAGCGCCTTTACGTACCATGCATGCGCACATTCCGTAAAATATGACGAGCCCTGGCGAAGGCCGTGTCAACTCGCTGAGCGGTGCCCAACACCGCTCAGCTCGGTGCACCCAATGGGTGCACCACACCGGTAAAGTTGGCCACCAAGGTTGGTGATGGGGAAGTAGCTCTCGACTTTACACAGCTTGGAGCTGTGTAGGCGAGGGTGGCGGCGATGTGTCTGAGATCGGATCCCAAGCTGCTGCTTCAGGTCCTCGGCCTTGAATGCTTGATAATAATGCGCTCGTCTTGAGCGAAGAATGCCGGCCGTGGACGAGGTGCAGCACTGCGAAGTCGGTGCCATGACCAAGTCCTTTCGAGTACAAAGATCGATCGAAAGTTGCTCATTTATCGCGTACTGCCAAACACCATGGCCAAACACTACATCTGAGAGCTTCAACTCGATTGACCGAACAGACAGCGTTTTGTAGTGTCGTTTCCATGCGGCCCTCGCACGCGCTTTGGATTGGCTAAAAAGACAATTAATGCGTTTTTCTCGGCGTGGGAGTGGACAAATTTCCTTAATTTGAACGAATCACATGCGCGTTGGCTGCCCGTCCCTCGATCGGCCCATAAATCTTGCGTCAGCATGGCGACCGAGCAGCACGACGCGTTCTTCCTCGACGCCCACCTCAAGTACGTGGCGAACCTCTCCAAGCAGAAGGAAAGCCTCGAGAGCTGCATGAGCGAGCACATGCGCGTCTCCGGCTTCTACTGGGCGGTCGGCTGCCTCGCCGCGCTGGGCAAAGAG